TCTTAGCAACATCTGAAGCAGCATCTTTGCTATTATCAATGACTATATATAGGGGTGTGCGATGGACTTACCTCCACGTGGTGCACCCTGGGCAACGTATTCACATACAGCAAAAAAGTCTATTAACTGGCAGTTGACTTCTCACTTCAAACTACCATGGCCCGACTGCTTGTCATGTTTGACCCCTCATTTTACCTTTTCTCTGCTTTTTTGTCTGCCTGTCTCTGTCACGTCTGTGAATCATTATTCTGTCCCCCCCCCCTCTCAACGTTTTGTCACTTTGATGTTCTTCCTCCTCTCTGTGAAACCCGAAGTCAGCTAAATGGCTAATGATAACTATCAAAATGCCTGCCATCGAATAAACGACGGTGTCAAAGAACGCGGCATTAGTTTCGTTTACACTATCTGAGCACCAAGTATATGAATTCTCTAATCATACATCCGTTGTTATCATAGATGTAAAATATGGTGGAAAAGTACTCAGACTACTGTCAAGGAAATTGGTAATTATATCAATGGACCTATAAAATCACTATTTAGTTCAATTACTCAGATTAATGAACAAAAAAGGAATTGGCAAAATTAAAAGTATTTATCCAGGGGAGAAAGTTTAAAATAAATTATGTGATATACTTTTGTCCTATTACGCATTGATTAATTCGCGAGATCAAGAAATTCGATTCGAAAGATTAGTCATAACTCTACTTTATTCCCATCATAGAATCACATGAATGCGTTCTTTTTCTGAATTCTTAAGTGACAATTAATTGCACGTCTTTTGTTGTATAAACCAGTAGTTTGCAAATTCCAATAATTCGACATTTTATTTAAAACGCATTAAAAATATCTGAGATTGCTTGAATCTTGGCAATACAAAAATCATTTGGCAGCAAGGTTTTAAAATGCATCTTCATGCAATATATACCACTTATACATGAAGTTCTTTCCAAATTAGCATATATCTTGAAAATGCGCTATGTAAATCGTCTTTATATGACTTGCAATGGGCTTCAATGGTGACACTTGCCAGTATATATATCCAGTGTTGTGAATGGCTCACCACACTGGCAAGTACCGATCAAAACAAAGATGCTTTTCTCACAGTTTCTAAGATATCTTCTCTTTGTCTGAGTGGCGCTGGGAAGAAGTACACTCAATGAGGTGAAAGGTTACTTATGAGCATGTTTGATAAAAATGTATAGCAGTTGCTCAATAACTCCATCCAATCTATAGGCCTTTTAATACTAACTCCAACTCACAATTGCCGAAGCACCCTTGATTATATCATAAATCAGATGGATTAATCTATTAAACAGCTCACCTCCCAACTTGGCATCATAAGCTACTCCAAATGCACATTTTGAATTATTAGCCACAGCTGCGTATAAACCCGCAACCTCTGTCCCATGGCTAAAGAGGAAAGATAAAGCGATGAGAAAAGTGAAAAGGCGAGAACAGAATAGGATAGCACTGCATATTACTCTTGAGATTTTGGCATTTTCGCATCCGTTCCTCTAGCATCTAATCGTGTGTCATTTTGCAAGTCGGCCAGATAATCAGAATTAATGTTTGGCGAGAGATCCTCATGCGTTGTATCCAAAGCATCATCAACAACAACGGCCATTACATTTTTGCCTGTTATGTTTGCAGCATATACAGGATAGGCGTTAATATCGATACCAGGAGTCTTTCCAATTAACTTGTTGCCAGAATTGAGCTAGAATAGTGTTACTTTAAGAGAGTCAATCAATCTTACTAATTGCCACATATAGGGTGCATTTGGGTCGTTGAATTTGAGCTTTTCAATAAGCAGTTTTGCATGATGCTCATAAACTAAGCGATACTCGTCATCGTTCTAGTGTAGAATAAAAAGACAAGATTAAATTATGTGGCATATAATCTAAAATAAAATGAAGCTATTCAGAATTACCGGAAGCTCTATCAGTTGAACTGGAGCCTCTGATTCATCTGAGTTGGAATTATAAATTAGAGATTTCTTTTGAATATAAAGTGGATACTGATGCTCGATAATTCTGACCTAAAATTTAGATAACAATTTAGCACTTTGTTTAAGCCTAGGTTAGTAAAAATGTGTTTGGGTTACCCAAGGAAATGTAAGAATCGTCTCGTATAACTCAAGCAAACTATCTCCAGTCCTGGTTGTAATAAAATAATGAAGATCAGAGCCAAGACTTCCCTTAAAAAAAATAATTTTAAATTTATTGTAAAGAAGCATGAAGGATCTCAGACAAACTCACTCGTGATCTATACTCCAATCCAAGGAAATTAATAAGGTAATCTAATTCTGAAACACTAGGGAATCCAGTGATAACAAAATGATTTTTTCCTGTCACTGAGAGAGTAAAAATTATAAGCAGTGAAGTTAATTTAGACGAATAAATGAATGACATGATTAAATGAAGTCATGAAGATCAAAAGTGGATTTAGAAAGTATACATCTAGAGGACGCCACATTCAAGGTCGACAACAATTAAGAGAAACATTTAATAAAATTCAAATTGAAAATTTGATTCGTTAACAAAAATTATTTGTTAGTCGAATTGGCTTTATGTGCTAAAAAAGATAAAAGTAAATGACTTCTTTTTAGAAGATGATCGATATTTAATTGTATCATTTTTAAAATAATAACAAATATCCACAATTTTTTATTTTAATTACATAAAATTATGTAATCAGAAAGTGAGACAATCTAAAACTATGATGTTCCGATCTTAAAATTTTGGTAGTACAATAACACGAGATCTATCATATAACTGGAATTATAGGCAAGAAAATTTTTGATGCGATCATAAAAATTGCTCAGTCAAAGTTGATAATAATATTCCGAAATTGCTCTAAGACTATTTAGCATTTGAATATTTATCTCTATTACATAGATACTGAATGTTTCGGAATTCGTTATTCGTTAATATGAATTAGACGAAATATTTTCATATATCTGAGGTGTTAAGGAGTAAACAAATCGTTACTCCATATCCATGTTAAACTCATTATATTTTTGCTGCTTAGTCTTATTCAATTGCCATAATTTAATGAATTAATTATAAAGGAATACAAAATACTCTCACTCCTCAATACCCTTCAAAACCAGGATAAAATTCTGATTTTGCTAAAAATTCAAACTTAGCTATATATTTCTGAAATAAACTAAAATAAAGAATTTTAATTTTTAAATGAGTATTTCTCTCCCTTGTTGTAACGCGATAAGATTTGTTTTAAGTTATAAATTTTCATTTGAAGGGCACGGGTATAATATCTTAATTGGCTTTAACAATGGGTGATAGCCGCGTCGGTGCTTCTGATTCCTCGGATGACGAGGAGTATATTCCAACAGGTAGTTAAGCGTTTTCCTCTATTCAATTCTTAGCTGAGAATGAGGACTCAAGCTCAGAAGAATCCGGAGATGATCTCTCTGAGTAAGAACTTGCTTTTATATTTTATTTTTGTTTAGTGACGAGCTGGAAAAAGCTTCTCCAGAGGAAAAGATAGCTAAACCAATTGCAGAAAAAGACAGGGACAAAATATGGGAGGAATTTCTCGAAGGAACAGAACAGAGTGTAGGATAGTTTGGTGTTTTTTATCTATTTCTGTGTTTAGAGCCAAATTGAACAAAACTCTTCCTCCAGATCAAGGTAATGTAGCTTTACTTATTCCACCATTGCGTTCAACTATATCTGATTTTTGTTCTATGGGCCTAATTGTTTTTAGGGACTCCTTATCAATTAAACCAAATATCTCAAAAGAACCCACTCCTAGGTTTGCTTTATTTTAATTGCAAAGCGCTCTTTTATATTTACAACTGTTTACAAATATTTGTTTTATTTTAGCAATAGTAAAATAACTAACCACAATCCTTTAAGCACAACAACTCTCGGAATTGGCCAGAAGTGTGTTATTAATATGAACTAATTTCGACTTTTATAGACGGCCTGCACAGACTACAGGCAATCGATTAAGCGAAGCATTTAAGAAGCTCAAGTCCTCCACTTTCGGCGCCAGTGCTCCTAAAATTTCTACTTTAGTAAGCTTAGATTTTTATTTATGTAGTTCTAGTTTGCTCCGGTTGTTCTTATTATTTTTTATCTTAGGAAAAATCTCGACTTGACTGGGAATCCTTTACCGAAAAGGAAGGAATTAAAGACGATCTCAAACTCCACAACAAAGGAAAAGATGGGTAGGTGAAGCTTGCTATTTAAATTTCGCTCTCAAGTATTATTCAAAATTCCACCCTAACGTAATCGACTTCCATTTAATTTTGCATGTTCTTAAGAGCTAAAACAATGTAAGCTTATTCTTCGTTGCATTTCACAGTCAACTTCAATGATTTGGAGATTTCAGTGTGAAGAGTGGCTATCGTCCCCTGCCACTGCGTAAATGCCTATAACGGGGAATGCTTAAACCTCTTTAAATGATCACTAAATTGCCATGCCCCCTTAGTTCTAGATCAGGTACAACTTGTACAATTTCACACGGTTTAGCAGGCGATCTTTCTGGGTCATTTCGTTTCTTGAATTTAACATAAAGTAATAAAATGTTAAGGATATGATCTCACTTTTCTACGTGGGGTGGTATAGTGGACTATTTGTGCATCCCGAATTGATTTATAAACATAAATTGGTATCTAAAAGTTGTAAGTTTATAAGAAACTAAATTCTTTTCTTATAGATACGTGGAACGAAAAGCATTTGAAGCCCGCACACAGGAACGACAATATGAGATGCTTAGAAAAGCTCGATTGAAGAATCTTTCACGGCGGTGAATAGGTGTAATAAAATCTTTCAACGTATTTGTATATTTTTCCTGCATTCCCATTGTTCTTGCGATCAATAAAGACAAAACTCAAAATTGGCGTTTGTATTGATTATATTATCGGAACTGGATAGATTAACTAAATAATAGAAACGCGGTGAGCTACTTATCCGCTGGTTCAAATGTGAAATTCTCGCGGCCATTGAATGGGTATTGTTTTGGCATCTGAGGGAACCGATTAGAATGGAAATTGGAACTTACCATAGGGTGGAAATATTTGTACATATCTCCAATATAGAGAAGTGGACCTAATATGAATACGGGCGCAATGAACTTTAGCAATGTTCGCCAACGAGGTTCATTGTAGCGCAACCATTGCTGGTGGTCATCGTGACCCATTGACTGGAACATTTCCCAATTCCAGGGAATTGGTTCGTTGTAATTACGCTTAGTGTAGCCGTAATCGTATATATCATAGGGATCGCGATGGAGTTCGTTAAAGTGTTCTAGTTTCGGATAATCGCCGGGGGCATTTCCATTATCTTCGTAAGGTTCATAATCTTCTGGAAGGAGGCCGTACTTTTTTGCTGCAGCAGCACGCTGAGCAGGAGTTGTAGGATAGGGTTTTGGCTTCCAATCAGCATGCCAACCTAAAAATTAGTAGTGGAAACATGAATTACAACTCATAAGCTTATTGACAAAAGCGCTTTCTAAATTTAAAAACTACTACGGAGAGCACCTACATGCGAAATTCTTCTGCGAAACTAAAGGCAGACGGGCCTGCAAAAGGCATAAACTACGACCGAGACCAGCCATCTGGCTATTTGTACGACTCAGGTTTAATGTTAGCACAAATACTAAAATCAAGGACGTGTTTTTTGGATATTTGAATTATATTCCATTCAGCCTCAATTAAAATATTTACATTTTTAAATCTTATTTTTAATTTTTTAATGTACGTTATTCAAGTCAAGTTGGCATTTTTGGGCGCAATTTGCAGTCATCTAACTGATGTAATATATTATGAAATTTGAGTCCATTTGCCTCAATATTTTTAGATATTTAATAAATTGTCGGTAGATTTTAAACAACGAAATTTATATTAAGTAAGTTATCTGTTTGCATTGATTATACTAAAATTATGGACGGAATTATTGTTTTTCCAATCATTTTGATATAGACGAAGAGACATCGCGGACCATTAATTTTAACCCAACTTAACGTACATACTTCACACACAATTTCCAAATTCAAACATTTGATTAATATAATAGCCAAATTTATTCTCATATATTCTTTATACTAAATATCTCTCAGATTAAATTTTAAATATATCAAAAACTCTAACTCAATTTTAATGTTTTTATTTCTTATTTATGGAATAATGAAATGACTGAAAATAAAACAATATTATAAATTACGCAGACTTTAATTTTTCCATACATTCTGTAAAGTTAAACACGCCTGGATTCAGAAAAACCGATTGATACATTTGAAAAATTTTTCTTTCTGTTACTTGGTCCTCAAAAAGTAATTAATTCATGTTCATTCACATAGTTGTGGGAATTAGAAGGGCAGCAAGCTATCAGAATCTTTGTTCGTTCAATATCATTTATGTCATTTCCCTTAACGCGTCCTCTCAAGTGATTTTTTGAGCGTAAAATGGGGATTCTATCTACATTAGATGGTTTGTTTTCTTGTTACGCACAGCATATATCAAAAAAGGAAAAAAATCATACGGCATCGTCACACGATTAAGACGAGGCATAACTTTCAGCAGTTGCCAATTATGACGAGAATATTTGGACTCCAAGATCTGACTGACGTCTTATGAAGAAACATTAACAGGTCAATCTAATTTGTTTATTGATTGATTATAATTGAATTTGCTCTCTCTTCGTGTCCTTTTGATATCATAACTATTCCGAATGCTTTATAGTTTCGTAAAAGTTTAACAGAACAAGCAGAAATTAATAAAAAACCAGTGAATTCTGTAAGCAAAATTAAGTTAAAAAAATAAACGCGCACGGAGTATTTGCCAATATTTTAGCTTTCCTTGGAACCGAATGAAGTTCAGATATTGTAATCTAAAGTAAAATCATTTGATGTATGAAGGATAAACAGGCATGGTAATCACGCGATGTCAATTTTAGGTACGAACGTGAAGGTAATGTCTTACCATTCATAAAAGCTTTTAGAACTAGAATTTTCGTCAAAAGTTTCTGGGGAAAAATGGATCTTAAATTATTTAGACAATTACCAATATCTGTAAGATTACGTTCCCTAGCAACACTTAATCTGTGTGAATTTGTAAACTTTTGTTTGGTGTGTGAAATGAATGAACTTTTACCAACAAACTTAGGCAAAGCACTACTTAGGCAAATTACATGGGTAGACAGGCCAATGTGTAATTTTCTTTTGAACAGATTTCCATATATATCCTTTGAAAATATGGTTCCCGCTATGAAATATTACAAGAACCGCGTTGCGAAACTTAGCGACCCATTTTTGGAAACCGACCAAGATGAGATAAATGTCTTTATTTATGAACCATTATCCGGTAAAGCAGCAGAACAATATCCTTTCGCCTGTAAAATGATGGGCGATTTTACGACGAATATAACTAGGCTCACAGACGAAATGAATGCTGATTCAGTGTGTCCGAATATTAATTCAATGATAGATATTACTATTACAATTCCAAAACTTCATGAGCCCAATGCTATGATAGAAATGGAGAGAAACATGAAAATCACAAAGGAGATTAATCGTATTCCAAATATGGACAAAATTGTTTATTGTGTGGATGAAAATCTTTCCGATAGTGAGCATTTGGGCCTTGTTATTGAATATCTTACGAGTGAACAGTGCTTAATCTTGGCAATATTTTGTGATGGTGAAAACAATGATACCCTGCAAATTCTTGGCAAGTTTAGAAAAAAACTTCGTTCTCTAAATTCATATGACACTACGAAAAGGTGGCTACTATGGTGCGTCAAGTGTGATACTTCTTCGAACACAATCTTGAACTTCAATGAATTAAAATTGCTTCTACTAGATAACTAATAAAAACAATTACTGTTGAATTAAAATTAAGGAAATGTGGGAACTTGACGTCTTGAGAAATTTCATTTCGTGAACTCTTTGATGTCTTAATAATATTCTTCCTTAAAGTATGATCATACTTTAATGAATAAATGGCAAGCATCTATTGAATTATGCTTTCCTTAGACGATTATAAACACCATTTAAATGCTAGGTAAATGAAAATATTCTCTGTAAAATATATGCATTCAACATTAAAATATACACGAAATGTTCAAAAATAAACTATAATTTATTGGTAATATTTTGTAAACAAATCTAAATGAAGGCAAAGTTATGATATAAAAAGGTTTTTTTAATTTATTATGATTTCCCTAAAGTCCTGATTATGCCATTGTAAATAATAGGATATTGCTGTTGACGATTAAATTTTTAAATTTGGTAAAGAATTTTTGATAACCGTCACGACATTGAACTAATTTCTTCTAAGCCGTTGTAAATTTTGCGCGTTTTTAATTGTTATATGACTTGTGAAAACTTGTGTGGATATTTCGTCGTGCATCGTAGTTTTCACTAGCTTTTGACTGATAATTATGCTCAAGGCTTGCAGTCCAGTTGTTTTGCCAATAACGTCATGGTCAAGACAATGTCCATTACATGAGATAACTGGAATATTATGCTCGCCAAAGCTATCCGAGTTCGTGACCGGCGACGCACTTGGTGAACTAATTATTTGGAAATTAGATGCCACAAATAAAGTATTAAAAATTTCGAACTAACTTCTTTAGTTTTTGCCGAAATTGATGTGTGTTGGTCACACTGGCTCTATAAAAAACCTGGGACACGCACGATGTGATGAAAACCTATCAGACTCATACTTCTTTAGCCATTCCGCCACCAAGTACGAACTTTTATCATGCTTTTATTAATATAAAATCAATATATTTTTTAAAATACCCTTTTCCTCTAGTGAGCTCGCTATTTGGAATTGGGAGGATGGCACCTGTGTCGATATTCGGATTGATCAAAATTATCGTCACACTAAGATAAAGGTTTGTCAAGCTATAAGAGCCAAATGGCTAAATAAAGTATACTTTTATTTTATCTACTTTTATTTGTATCCAGTCTTTTCAACCAAGTTTCACGGATGGGAGGCTACTCTTCTGTTCCGGTCAATATCCATGTATTGTTGTGATGCACGCTATGCAACTCTCTAACCTTTACGTTCTTTCCTCAAATTCTCATCCTAATTGGATACAGGATTTTTCACTTTTCACTCATACCCACCTTCAGCGTGAGTCTTTATTGAGCGCTGTCATTCTGAAACAATTTTCTTTTTTTACTATATTTCATTTAAGCTTGTTGATAGCTTACATTCTCTTACCGAATTTATCCTAGGTTGTTAAATTTTATAAAGCGTAACTAGGCATATTTCAACAATTTATTACTTTTGATTTTTTAATTAAACCCTATATATATATATATATTTAGTGCCAGATATTAAGCCTATTTTGCATTACTTATCCAGATGGGAGATGTATTACTTGTGTATGCGATTTTTATTCCACTGTGCCATTCTTCAACGCTTTGAGTGGTCTTCCTAAGTGCTGCATGTTCTAAATTGAATGCTTGTGATGTTGAGTTCGTAACCGAAAGTCTCTATCGGCTTGTTAACTACGAATCGGAGTTGTTGGAAGTTAAAGGCTTTAGCCATCTTATTGAAAATTTGTAGTAATTATCAATAAATAGATGATGAAATACTAGAGGTTCTAGACTCCTATCAGTTTGGGATTTGTTATGCCCAGATAGTCCTCCAGTGGTAGAGTGGTCAATGTCCACAGCTTCTAAATCGTCGGCATCGAATCGGATGACCAACTCCCTTGATTAATCGTGATCAACAAATGGCAGTTGGATAGGAACCTTTCATCAAGGTTACCTTCTCTCTACCATATTTAGTCTCTTTCGGCGCTAGTCATAATGAGCTATGGAAGTCTCACGTGCAAATTGTCATTTTCCATATGCACATTTTGCTAGTTGGTTCTAACCAATTTAAACTTATTATCTTTTGCAATGTCTTTCAGAGGGGACTAATGACAATATTTACGCAGATTCAACACGTGAGTTCAGACTATATGGTCAACTTAGCCTCTTCCGTTCCTCTTAGTTGTATAGATCCCATTTTTTGCTTGATGTGTTTGTTTTGATTTTAAAATTATTTTTTTGGGCATTTTGTAGTTTGTCGTGATTTTTTTTCAATTGTTACTAGGTGTTTAAATCTCTTTACTTCTAGTAGCTTGTCCTGAATATGTGTTTCGATAATAATAGTTCATAATGAATTGTGGTCGTGATGACTTACATGTTGCAAAGCTTGTGGGCTGATGGTGTTTTTGTCTGATTGTCCATTTTTGCTTTATTTCTTTTACACGTAGAAAGTGGAGTATAAGAGACTTTGTTGAGTTAACTTTATCACAGCAGCAATATGAATCAACGCTTCAATGTCTTTTGAACAAATCCTAGAAACAAGAAATTTGTGTGGGGAGAACAGTTGTACTTAAATTTTAAAAATTCTTAAGTATGTGAAATATGTACTTCATTCCACAAGAAGGTAAGTACTATTCTAGTATACCTCACATCTCACTTCATTATTGGCCGAGACTGGGATCCCTCAATACCACAGGTCTTTGTGTCTTGCTTCAGCACATAAAATGAAAGCTTATAAGTGATCATATTTTTCTGCGTTCTATCGTCATGCGCTTCAGTTGCTACTGGACTGCGGTTCAGGATTCTTCTGCCTCTGAAAAAATCACCTTGTTTTACCTCTCTAATGATCAGCGTTGTTGATCATCAGAATCATTAGAAATGTACAGTGAATATCAAACGCGATACCCATGTATGCTGCCTCTAGGCTTAAATCTTTCCAATCCTCCTCCTTCAGTGCACCTAGGGGAAAGAAGCTATCTTTGTTCCCGAAGACTTATTCGTCCTCGCTGTGTTCTTTTTTTTGTCCTATGTATTTTTGTTTCCCCAACAGGTAGCTTTCTTTCTAAGTAACTTATCTTTAATAAAATCTTTTTTCCCACGTCTTTAGAGGAAGTAGTTCTTGGTGTTTCCAATTCCGCAGTTGTCACGGTGTGGACACTAACAGGGAAGGAGACACTTGTAAGGCAATCAAAAATGGTCTTTATTTAAAGCACTAGTTTTTTTACAATTAAACTACTAGTCTTTCCTCGCTAGAACTCAACTAACTTCGAGCACGAATCGAGAGTGGTTGACACAAAGTCGAATGTTCTTCAAATTCATTGCTGTCAGCAGCTGCCTCGTCTTGTTCTTCTCATTTGCACTGATGAGTGGAGGGTGAGTGGGGGGGGGGGGAGGAGGATGGGAGAGGAGATTGTCCACTCCACCATCTACTTTAAATTTTCATGTTTCGAGCTCTTGTTGGCCTTTATTTAGATTCTGGATGCTTATGATTGTTCGACACTGACCCTGCAAAAAACGTCCAGTGAGATGGAGAAGTTTACGGGGGGAAGTTTTTTCAATCGCGATTACATCGCCATATTCACCGCTGCTGGCGAAGGCCTAATTTATCGTCTCTCGAAAGAGTGCGTTTCCGCTTAGTCTACTTAAGCTCAAATTAAGTAATATTTTACCCATTTCTGGCACATCTCTGTTTTAGCATCTTTTCGAAGGTAGGAAGCGGTATCCAGTCTCCAAGTTCGAAAACTGAATTGGTTATAAGGCTGAAAGTAAGTGTTGCTGATGTGTTGCCTTCTAATTTTGTTAATTTGCAGCATTAATAATCCCACCTTGGTCAAATTTTTAAGATGCATGATGAGCCGCATTTAACGAGGCCAATTAGATCTCTTTTCCAATACGTGCCTGTATCAAAAGTATCGAAATCAAGTCTATTTCGTATCGGTGCTTCTGAGAACTCTATTGCTGCCTTCATATGCCCCCGGTCTGACGCTCGAATTTGTGCTTGGAGTTTGACTACCGATCATTTAATCGAACCGGGTGAGTGCCCCCTTTAAATCTTCCCTTTGCATCCCCTTTCCCCATTAAAATTGACATCAAGGCGGCATTCTGGGTCAGGCATGGATATACTTTTCAAGGTTACTTTGTCTTGAAAGAGTGGAAAGTAAATTTGAAGATTTCTTTTCTGTTCATTGCCTTTCGTCTATTTGACGTTTTCTAGCATTATTTTGGGAGTCGGATTCATGTCGCAAACATCATCAAATGTCTTTTTCACCGTCACAACGTGGAGATGTGAGTCCACACGTTGAACTTCTTGAATATCAAACCACACCCATATATATATATATATATATATATATATATATCTTTCAATTTTTTGAAAATTTGAGTTGCGTTAAGCCATCAAGCTTTCTGCAGGATTTCTTACAGTAATTTTGTCATCAGAAATCTTACAAGAAGTAAAGTAAGCGTGGTTTAAACTTACCAATTAGTCATTCTATTCAAACTTTTGTACTATCAATTATCGTTTAACTAACCGTTCATGCTGACTGAAGCTAAATTCTGGTTTACTTGCTGAAAGTTTCATCTTAATTAACCTGAAGGTCATTTTTATACAAGCACCCCAAGTTGCGGCATAATAGAGCACAAATGGACCTGTAAGCATATGTATTTGTATTTTTGTTGAGAAAAAAGTGGTGTTTCTTAGGCTCTGCCAAAGTGAGTTTAACTTCGTTCTCGAACTCGCGCTTTAATACTTGGAATCCCTAAATAGGCAGTGGACCACCTCATTCTTCCACTTTTTACTCTTGAGTTCCATGTTCCTCCAATTAAACTATTAGTCAAATTAACTAAAGCCTTGTCAGTTGACTTATTGGTATGTTTATTTTATATCAATACGCGGCATCTTATTATTTGTATTTTAAGTTTGATCCTTACCGCTTCCCCTGTAGATGAGTACGTTTTGGAGTTGCAGCCTTTCATGCAGACAAAGCTCTCGGAATGTTGGCTAGACATCGCCAAAAATCTTCCCAATGAGCCTGGATTTTTCAATGTAAGTGTAAAACTTTTGAGTCCCTTTGGTGCCTCTTTCCAATTATTGAGCTGTGGGACTTGAGGTACGGGCAAAAGGTCGAACTCACTTGAACCCCATTGAATGCAGATAGGTTTGGCAGATTTTCCCACCTTTCTTTACTGTCCCAACTTAGATTTGAAAGCTGTGTGTTAGCAGTTACAATCAATATCGATTTTCAATAACGAATTAAGGCATTGTCTTAATCCCACATATTTCTTTGTGTTTTGAATTCACCGGTGTAAAAGAGGCAGACAGACACAGAGGCAAAGAGAAGGTAAGATGAGAACTGTGGAAGGGGTCGAACATGACATACAGTCGGGTCATGATAGTTTGAAATCGGAAGTCAACTTCCGATTTTAATAGTCTCTTTGGCGTATGAGTATACCTTGCCCAAGGTGAACCACGTGGATGTAAGTCTATCGCACACCCCATCTTGAAATGTGAATTGAAGGTTTCATTTATCTCCTCTCATTTATTAGAATGAATTTTTCCCTTAATGCAGCCTACCAATTCCCCCGACGAAGTGGTGACCTGCTGTATTCTAGCTTATCTCTCGACCAAAGTCGAGCGCAAGGCCCTTCCTCCACTCCTAATTCGTGGTACTTCAAACGGAGATATCATTATTTCCTCTCCTTCAAATGACCCTATTCATCGATTTAAAGCACACAAAGGCGCTCTGCTGAGCCTTCTCCATCCCTTCTCCTTCGGTATGCACCGAGGTGACTTCTCGCCTGGCATTTTGTTGTCGGGTGGTGAGGACTTCGCTGTTAGGATGTGGGACTTGGAGGAAATTTTGAATAGAGAAGAACCAGAAATCATACCTCTAGGTACATTTTACAATCATGTTGGGCCTATAATCGGCCTTACGGTAGGACCAATGAAATCTTCGTTCTCTTCGGTAAGGGAAACGTTGATTCATTACTATTGTATTTTTCGATGATAATTAATAAAAAGGCACTGACGCAATTAAAAGTAGCTAACTTTACTATGCTCTTGACATGTGTACGCGCTATGAGTTCACACGGCACGACTATTCGCACGATTTTATACCAGGTCGCCCTTTGCTGCATATAATACTACTTATATCCACTTCAGCAAAAGGTTTCACCCAACCGCATCTCTCTCTCTCTCTCTCTCTGCTAATTGAAAGAAAGTTCCAAAATGGTATAGTGGGGGGGGGGGGGG